CCACCCCAACAATTTGGACGGTTGCCTTCCTCCCGGTGGCTCTCTGTTCTAAGAGATCTCCAGGTGATCACTGCTGTCTGATCCAGAGAAGAGAGCAGGGTTTCTCCTCTGGCCTCATCCCATTTCCGTTCCTGTACTCCCTTTTGTTGCTGTCACACATACGACAGGACTGGAAAGAAATGATTTGTGCTGTTCAGCATAAAGGGGGGGGGGGCAGTGCTTCCAAATCGTTAGTAGATTCTTTTTTTTAGTCTCTCTGCTCAAGTCTCTCTCAGATCAGGAGCAGAAGAGGGTTTTCGTGCTGATCACACCCTGTGAGATAATGTAGTGTTCCCATTCAAAAGCATTGTGTGCTTTGGTAATAACTCTTAAAAAAAAAAGGGGGTCAGACCTGGTTAATATATACATTTATATATGATTCAAATAATTTGTCGACTGGTGGCCTTCAACACGTTAGCGAGGATCTCTCTGATTTCGTGTCTTAATGTAACTAAGTGAAGGTTCTTGTGTGTGTGTGTGTGTGTGTGTGTGTGTGTGTGTGTGTGTGTGTGTGTGTGTGTGTGTGTGTGTGTGTGTGTGTGTGTGTGTGTGTGTGTGTGTGTGTGTGTGTGAGAGACTGCATATCTGCTCTTCCATCACTTTACTATTAACACTGCCACTGCGCAGTATGCTGTTCAAAAGAAGGAATGATTGTCCGAAATACCGGTTGAACCTCCACACTGTGCGTATTATGAGATACTTTCTCATTCACAAAGGCCTCATGAAGATGATGGTGACAACTTTGAAGGCCAAAACACCCTTTCTCTTCGCCTTAGATACGAGCGACCTGCTCTCACATCACACCCGAGTGATCATGATGCTGACATTTGTTGCTGGTTTCTCATACAAACATTTAAAACGTTGAAGAAGTAGTCGTGAAAAGACTTTAGAGCTGCAAAATCGCTTCTTTCAGTGGTGAAAAAATGTCATTAGTGCAGTTTTTTTCCAACGAAATGATCCAAGTGTACGGCAGTAAACATGTTTTTGGGATACGTAGTGTGCTTTTGTGTTAAGAGGAACAGAACAAAATGAGAAACTATTATGAGTCAATGCAGTGGTTAAAAGAAACCGCTGTTAATCGGCTGAAGAGTTCATACATATGCAAAATACATTTTGACACCAAAAACATGGGGTATAATGTGAGCGTGCGTGTGTGTGTGGATTTCATAATTTCGTTTGTAAGTGTACTTAAATGAAGAATAAAGAGACGAAGAATTTAAAAGCATTGCAAATAACTATGATTTTATAAATGTATAGAAATTCATATAATATTGATAACTGTAAGGTAGGTTTTATTTCTTGTTTTTATTCAGTTCCTCATAATATTGTAAGAGGACTGTCTTCGTTTTCAGAAAAAAAAAAGGGAGTTTCCATGCTTGACTGAGAGGGAAGACATGACATTGCTCAGTATTTTGTGTTAAAGAAAAAATAATCTGTAATATCAAATGCTGTGATGTCTAAAAAAAAGAAGCTTTTCATACTGTTCTTTAATACCATTTGTTACATTTACATTAACTAAGTAACACAATTATTGCCAAACCAATTATTTGGGAATTTCTGCACTCATGTTTAGCAGGTGCTCCAGATGGGATGACATAATGTTGTCAATAAAACAATAAAAACCCAAATGAAAACACGTTGTTTCAGCCTATTTTGTTATGTATGTGTACAATGTGTCACATGTAAGCAAACACGGTACCAACTGACCATTTCATTATGTATTTATAATAGTTGATTGCAAAAGCATGTTTAAAATGAAGACGATGGAACCTAAAGAATGCCTTTTTTCATTAATAACTTAGCGAATCATTTCAGTCTGTGGTCCTGCAATTGAATTTGCTTCAGTTGAACTGGTTTGGATGGCAGATGTTCTTCACTATCCATCAGTGCAATTGTTGTTTTTTTACACTTGTATGGTAGGTTGTTGGTCAGTTTGGTTACAATCTCTCTCTACCTCCACACAGGAGCAATTTGAGGGTACTTAAATGGACAAAACTCACAACAAAGTTAAAGATGAATTTGATTGGTTGCTATATGTATTTTGGAGATATGATGATGATCCTGGGAACAAAGCCATAACAACTTCCAATCAAAGTACTAAAAAACAGACGATGTATTTAAAATCTATTTCCATTGTGAAGATTGGGTGTTAAAAAAAATGAAACCAACTTTTTCTCCTGAAGTCAACCTCCTTGTATTTAAAGTTTAAAACAAAATCTGTGTTAAATCACTAGCTGGTTCTCTTGTTATTATCCCTGCGAAAAGAGCCATTTCTTTCACTGTCCCACACCACAAGCGCCTCTCCTGCTGTGTCATGCCAGCAGATTTGTTTTTAGCCAATTTTATTTTTGAAAGGCAGACTGGAACCTACCATTCTATACATGGGGCAGAGAGAAATGGGGAGCCGGGGAGGGGTTTCACAGCTGTTGGGACCAAAGGAAGCAACCGTTGCACCGCATCACACTCAGGACACACCCTATAGGACAGACACAGTGTGGTACAGTGCAGTGCAGTGGACAGGAGGTGGTAGAGAGACGGTGAGAGTTTGCATAACAGGCAGCCTGTACAGGGGGGAGAGATGGGAATGCTGAATCAGTGAAACTGCATGAAAGCTTGGGAGAGTGGGAAGAAGGTAAACAGCAGGGGGAGAGGGGTGGTTTGGGTAAGATGTACAGTCCGGTGCCGCGTCATTCATTTCCTCTCTTATTGGTGATTGTGGAGCTGACCTCAAGTTAAGAGATTTTAAAGAGACTTTTAATCTCAGTGCTGCTTTTAGAGTACATTTCTAGAGTTGAGAGCAGGAACTGCATCTGTACAGTTTCCAGCAAGCGAGGTAAGGTTCCACAAATCAATATCTCTGCTTTGTGTTAAAGTAGTCTACAATGTACCCAGTGACATTAACGCTGGATGTGCCTCCCACTGAGTGAAACCAGGTTAAATGTATTGGCTTTTCACATGGTGTATAAACGGAGAAATCACAATTTGTGCATGTGCCGCCAGTACTGTATCTCTAATGTGTCACTCAGATGGAGGTGGACGAGCTGGTGTGTTTGCCAAGGTTGCCCCGGGTCGCTGTGTGCGGCGGTACCCATGGCAACGAGCTGTCCGGGGTGTACTTAGTGAGAGAGCTGCTGAAGATGGAGAAGAAAGTGACGAAGGAGGAGGAGGAGGAGGATGACGACCGTGTGTCGGTGCTGATGGTGCTGTCCAACCCTAGGGCCATGTTGCAGTGCCGCAGATACGTAGACACCGACCTCAACCGCTGCTTCACCCGCGCCACCCTCAAGTAAAATGATGGGTAGGGGTGTTGATGCTCCAACAGTTGTGGTGATGAGTCGTGATCTGATTGTTTCTCTGTCTCCCAGCGGTCCAGTGTCAGACGTTGCACCCTACGAGATTACCAGAGCCCTAGAACTGAACCGCATGCTGGGTCCCAAAGGGAGTCCTGCGGCGGTGGATCTTGTTTGCGACCTCCACAACACCACCGCCAACATGGGCCTGTGCCTCATCGCATACTCCGACTGCGACTGGATCTGCCTGCACATATTCAAAAACCTGCAGGCAAGCAGCTACACACTCAAATATAACTACTAAAACTAAAAGATAGAACCAAGAACTGAGATTGGTTTTCGACTGACAAGTGAAATATGTCATCTTTTAGAGGGAGATGCCAGATGTACCAATAAGGTTCATCCATTTCGATGTCTCCAGTAAAGAGTCCTATTCCCTCGATTCAGTGGGAAAACATGGCTTTGGTAAGTGTATCATTTTTCCAATAACAATAGTTTGAATGCTGGATCATTTTCTCATCTTGAATCCATTTTCTGCAGCCATGGAGATCGGCCCCCAGCCCCACGGGGTTGTGAGGTCAAACGTTTATACGGCGATGAGAGTTGGCGTTCAGAACATGCTAGATTGGGTCCGCTTCTTCAACTCAGGTGAAGTCTTGAAAACATTGAAATTTTTTAAGCCCCTTTTGGTTTTGTTCTAAACCCCCCAAATGTGTTTATTTTCAGGTACTATATTTGAAGGAGGATTTGTGGAGGTGTTTTCCATGGTTAAACACATCGACTACCCAAGAGACAGGGACACGCGCACCATCACGGCAGCCATTCATCCTCAACTCCAGGTACGGACTTATTTTGAGCTTGAAGCATTAATAAAAGCAGTTGCCCTTTGTCCGATTTAAGTACAGCCTAATCTTGTATAACCAAGTAGACCAGGGAGTGGATAAAATAACAACATATTACAAAATTAGCCTAACACTTACAGGACAGTTAATGCATGGCCAGCACAGAAGAAAGGCCTTTTGTCCTGAGCTGGATAATGAATTGTGTCTGTGGGTAAGGTGGCCTTGGCATCGTATAAAATATGAAGCCAAGAACAGGACTATTGTTTCCGACAGGGTGGAGTCCTTCCCGTAAAATGGCTTCATACCAAAGAGAAATCATGAAACCGCATGATGCTCGAAACATAGCAGTGCAAATCTACTTTCATTAGCAGCTGGCAATTGGATTATGTTAGTTATTTTTTACAAAAGCTCATGTTTACTCAAAGCTGATGATTCCCAGACATCATTGTTAAATAATATTATAATAGTTGATTATAAGAGCATGACTCAAGCACGTTGCCAGTAAGCATAATAATTTTTAAGCAGGAACTCAACTGGGGAAGTTTGAAGGACGGCTCATCAAATATTTTTATTTTCACAGCAACACCTCTATATCATTTGAATTGTTAAATAGTTTTAGAGATAAACGTGTGTTAATTGGTAAATATGTTGGAACGATTTGCCGACGTAACCTAGAAAGTATCTTAGTCAGCGCACAGCAGGCACATATAACAGTCAACATCAAGATTTTTGAACAAGTAATATTTACTGAGTTAAAAAAATATGTATTTCAGGAAAAACCTCATTACTGGTT